ACTAATAACTACATTTATCATAGTCTGTGTTAACTGCTTTATATACATTACATGATTTCATTTATTCCTTGGAACAACTGGCCTAAAAGATGAAATCCCAGGGACTGGAGAGATAACTCAGTGGTTAAGAGCACTGTTTGATCTTGTAAAGGTTACGTTCGATTCCCAGCACCTGCATAGCAACTAACAACCATCCATTGGTAAATCCAGTTCCAGGAGATCTGATGCCCTCTTCTGACGCCTTCAGACACTGTACAACATGGTGCACTTATATACATGCAGATAATACACTCATACACATAAAAAATTAAAATAATAAAATATAAAACACTAAAAAGAAGAAAGAAAACAAGTAATAAAGAAAGGGATGGGGTGAGACAGGAATGGTGGCACACACCTTAAATCCCAGTACTTGGGAAGCAGAGGAAGGCGGGTCTCTGTGAGTTCAAGCTCAGCCTGTTCTACATAGCGAATTCTAGGTCAGCCGGGACTATAAGGAGACCCTGTCTCAAAAAGACCAAAAGATTAAATAAATAAATTAATTAAATAAATAAATAAATAAATAAATAAATAAATAAATAAATAGTTGTAGGGAAGGAGAGAGAGAGAGAGAGAGGAGGTGGGAGGGACAGAAAAGAGCTCCCTTGAGCTACAGAATCATGACTTCCAGCCATCAGTCCATGTTATGTTGGATAAGTGCCCTCTCTGAGCCCCATTTTACTTTTCTTGGTAATGTAATAACAGACCAGTGAACAGAATAATGTAATAGCAAAACCAGGGTTTCTTAATGTTAGTTCCAAGAATATTATTATGTGCTTAGCTCACAATAAATATTTGTTGAAAGAATAAATAAATGAGACTTTAAGAAAAACTTGGAGGCCTTTATAAGCACATATGTTGATAGACATTTCCTTCCAATGGAAACATTCCCTCTTGGAAGGAAGCTGTATAAGACTCAGGAAGTAAATGAAACTTACAGGATTTACAAGGCTCTTCCCTAAGCTTATACAGTATATTAGTTACTTTTTGTTGCTGTGATAGAAACACTGATGAAAGCAACTTATAGAAGGAAGAATTTATTTGAGCTTACGGATCCAAGGGGCAAGAATCCATCAGGGTGGGGAGGCATGGTAGCAGAGGTAGCTGGAGAAAGAGCAGAGCTAAGCGTTCATATCTAAGCGTTCATATCTTCAAGCAGGCACAGGAAACAAGAGAGTAACTGGAGATCACTCAAGGCTTAAGAACTCTCTAAGCCCACCCACAGTGACATGCTTCCTCCAACATGGCCAAACCTTCTAAGACCTCCCAGAACAGAGCCTCTGACTAGGGACAAAATGCCCAAATACTTGGAGCCTATGGGGGACATTCTCCTTCAAAACCACCATATACAGGCATTAACAATTCCCACACTGAGGAAGCTCTTCACCTGCCGGGCTATTTGCACATTATTCAGGGAGCTCCAGGGATGCAGCTTTTGTGAGTTATCACCCATGCTAGGGTGAGTTTTGCAGTGATGCAGCTTCCTTTCAGCCATCCATGCTCCTGTGAGTATTGCTAATAGACTCATTGCAACATTAAGCTAGACTTGGATCTAATATCAGTTCTCTTTTGGAGTGAATAAACATTTGTTCATGTCTCCCCACCGACCCACCCCACCCCCCCAAAAAATCACACAGCATGAGTAAATGGAACATCAAAGTACAGGTTCTGCTTATCTCTTATTATCAGTCTTTTCCAATTACCTTAAATATTCTGCCTACACAAAAGTTGTCTGAGCATGTATTAGTCTGAGCTAGTCTGAGCTATACTTTCATCTGTGTGCCTCCAAATCCCTTTCCCTGAAGTGCCTTTGATGCTTTATGACTGACATAAATTCCCTATCAGAATCCACTTTTCGAAGGGCATGGTGGCACATGCCTTTAATTCCATCACTTGGGAGACAGAGGCAGGTGGATCTCTGTAAGCAACCTGGTCTACCTAGTGAGTTCCAGGCCAGTCAGCATTTCATAATAAGACTCTATCTCAGAAAGAATTATGAAAATATGAAAATAAAATATGAAAATAAAATAGTCCACCTTCAATGTACCTTTCTTTCAGGAAGACCTTCTTTTGAGGGGAGAAAGAATGTAGGAAATAAAACCCTAGAGCCTTAAGCGTGTTATACAAAGACTCTACCACTGAGCTATATCCCCAACCCCAAGAAGACTTTTCTGATGCCTCCAAATTGAGATTATTTCTTCTTCATTTGTACTGTACAATATTCTGCTGGTCCATCTAGGAAAAGCACTTATAGGCTCCTTAATGATCCATCTATACATTTTTCTTCCACGACAGATAATCAAATACCTTAAGAGACCTTAACTAGTTAGACACAATTAAGTTATAGGCATGACAAAGTATTGATTTCTCTCATTTTCTCTCAGCTTCTGGGGTATCTAGAGAGCGAATAAGATGCCTCTGGCCACAAGCAATTTCATTCATTTATCCTACTGAGGAAACACACTTGTTAAATATGACATGATTGGGAAAAGATAGGATAAAACTGCCTAAAGAGAAACACCTCCATCACATGTTTGTGTATAGTAGGTACCCAGGATTAAAGCCTGGTGCATTAAATGTTAGGAATACAAACTCATTCCCTTTGCCTTTGAGAATGAAGAAGCTGTTCTTTACCATAATTGAGTATTGGTGTTAATTGTTGTGTACTTATTTAATACTTGTCTTATCCACTGGATTAAAATTATTTAGAGATGAGACTGTGTCTATTTTGTGTCTTTCACTCTGTTCCTAACAGTTACTACAATCCTAGCTGCCTATAGTAAGCATTTAATAAGTACTTGTTGAATAAACAAAAAACAAATCATAAAATTCCTTTGCCTTGGATGGCTTAGAGTCTCTTTAAAAATTTTTGTTATTTTTAATTGATTGCTTGGGGAAGTTGGTTCTCTCATTCCACCATGTAGGTCCTGGGTATTGTATTTAGGTCCTCCAGCTTGTCAGCAAGTGTCTTTATGCACTGAGTTATCTTGTACCTTTCTTATTTTTTTGACAGGGTTTTGCTATGTAATCAGGCTGGACTTAAACGTGTGATCCTCCTTAAATTCCTGCCCAACTGCTGGAGTTACATGTACATGTCTGACTCTATTAAAGCCTTTTAGGATCTTTGTCTCCAAATCTGGCTCATCAGGCCTTCCCCACTCACAACAGTTCTTAGAGATACATTTCAGCTCATCCATAAAGATTGCTCTTTACCTGCCTAGGCTTCACATAGTGGCCTGTTCTCTCAGTTTCTCACGTTTTTCACCTGCCCAGACAACAAAGAGTAAGGATTAATTAAGAAGGGCCTAACTTTGGTACTAGTCCCTTTGGTATTTCTCTCCATCCTGGGACAACATTAGGTTCTCTTATCATCCTGATACCAGCACATGGTGCTGGTAATCACTCACATTAATCTAGTCTCTAGCCAGGATGCTGAAAAAAAATTATTGGCATGCAAATGATGTCTTCAAATGCTTTTAAGCCAGGCATGATGACACAACTTTTAATCCTAGCACTCAGAAGACAGAGGCAGATGAATCTCTGTGAGTTCCAGGCCAGCCTGGTCTATATAGCAAGTTTCATGCCAGCCACACCTGCATAGTGAGACCCTGTCTCAAGAAAAAGTTTTTCAGCAAGTTGGAATTGCTGTGCACCACCACACCCAGCTGCCTAGCTGGATTTTAGGTTTCTAAATGTGACTTACACAGCCTTAGAGTTTGGGGATCTTTAATGCATTATCTCCCCTCTCGTTCTATTCTGACCAAGTCTTGCCTTCTGTTTAAGAGTGGCTTTTGATTTCCTAGAGAGGCTTGTGTGGTATCAGGATAAGGCAAAAACTCTGACGTTTATAATTTTCTGGAACATAAAAATAGTCTACTAGGAAAAAAAAAACCAAAGTATTCTTTGTCTAGATGTTTAGTTTACCAAAAATGAAAAATAGCAAAGATTTGAGTTGGAAGCTATGTTCAGAGTGGGGTAGAGCACTGCTGGAGATTCATTGCCCTGTGCCTCCTGGGTCCCCCTGGCGGCAGAAGAAGGGAAGGCAGCACTACCCAGAGAACAGCTATCCAGCTCAGACAATGACTCAACACCACACCTTCCACAACAATCTGGTTTTCACCTTTTTATTTATTTTTTAATTTTATGTGTATGAGTGTATTGCCTTAATGTGTGAAGGGGGCCGCGTCGTGCAATGCATATGGAGGTCAGAAGAGGGCATTGGATTGTCCTGGAACTGGAGTTATGGATGATTGTTTAGCAGCCATGTAGGTGCTGATACTCGAATCCAGGTCCTCTGCAAGAGCAGCTGGAGCTTTTAACCACTGAGCTATCTCTCCATCTTCCTGGTTTTCATCTTTTAGGTAGGTTGCTCCAAGGAGTAAATAAGATCATGCAATATATAAAAAGCAATTAACACAGAATATGATAAATGCAGCTATTACTAAGGTGTAACACATGTTTTACAATGACCTAAATTTTACCTGCAAAAGTACTCCTAGAAATGACCTTAATTTTTAATGAGTATTGATAGCCATCAAAAATGTTGTTTATGAATTTACCTTAGAACTCCTGGGGAAAATCACATATGCTCTAGTTGTTGGGTGCTTATTTGCTTGAGACAAGGTCTCACACAGCCCAAGCTCCTCTAGAACTCACTATGCAACTGAAGATGACCTTGAGTTCATGATCCTCCTGCCTTCACCTCCCAAGTTCTGGGATTCCAGGCATGGGACATCATACCCAGATCTAATTCTAGTTTTCATCAGGCACTAAAACGAAAGAAATGTTTAAAATAATAGAGCTATCTTGGGAGTGGTGGTACATGTCTGCAATCTCAGCACTCAAGGCTAAAACAGAAGGATCATGAATCCAAGGCCAGCTTAAGCTACATCATGGACTTTTCTACAGGTGTCAGCAGGTCTAGATGGCAACAGCACTCGACTTAGAAAGATGAGTGCTCTATCGTTTCTCGGCCTTTTGGCTAAGATCAAGTGTAGAAAGATGAGTGCTCCCATCCCAAAGGATGAAATCTGCATGCTTTTGGAAACCTTGGATAAATTGATTTCTTTCTTTTTGCTAATCCAAGTGGAGGTTTTAGGTTTGGTTTTTGTTTGTTTGTTTTCTTTTTTCCAACTCTGAGAGGACAATAAAAATTAGGTGAAAAGTTTGCTGCGAAGGGTTGGAGAGATGATTCAATAGTTAAGAACATTTCTTGCTCTTCCAGAGGACCAGGGTTCAGTTCCCAGCACCAATGGTAACTCACAACCATCCTTAACTCCAGTTCTAGGGGATCCAACTCCCTTTTCAGGTCTCCATATGGTTCACTTATATACACTCAGGCAAAAATCTCATACACATAAAATAAAAATAAATAATTTTTAAGTTTTCTGTGAGAATAGATGTTAGTACTTTAAAAATGAAGATTAAAGGATGGAGATGTGACTCAGTTACCAGCTCAGCATAACTAGATGTGATAGCACAGGCTTATAATCCCAGCACTCAGGAGGTAGGGACAGGAGTATCAGAAGTTCAAAGCCATACATAGTGAGTTCAAAGTCAACCTAGTCTGTAGACCCCATCTAAAAAAAATTGATGATCACAGCTCATATAAAATGGTTTCTGAGAGCTAGAGAGATGGCGCAGAGGTTAAAAGCATATACTGCTCTTCCAGAAGACCTGAGTTTGGTTTCCAACACCCACATTAGGTGGCTCACAACTGCCTATAACTCCAGCTGCAGGGATCTGACACCCTCTTCTGGCCACTGAGAGCATCTACATTCATAACTCATACCCATACACAAGCACACATAGACATAGAAACAGACACAGACATGCATGCACACACACACAATTTAAAATAATAAAAATAAAGTTTAAAAAACTAACATGGGGTGGCCGGGCGTGGTGGCACATGCCTGTAATCCCAGCACTTGGGAGGCAGAGGCAGGCAGATCTTTGTGAGTTTGAGGCCAGCCTGGTCTACATAGTGAGTTCCAGGACAGCTGGGGCTACAGGGAGATATTGACAACTGATTACCATTGGATGAGAAACAGCTAATCCTCCTAAAACAAAAACCTCTAGGTGGGCTGACTAGATTCACCAGAAGGGCAAGTAGTGGGAAATGGCTGGGGTGCTGACAACACAGCAGACAGTAGCAGGGTTACCAGAGTATAAGGGCTTTAGTTGGGGGAGGGAGGCTATGGGAAGGTGCTACCTGGGAAATGGGTGTATAAATAAAAAATTCTTCCAAGCGTTAAAATTTGCTCCTTAATAACTAGTAGATGCGAAAAACATTACCATTGAAATCTACCTGATGACTTTATATCCATGCTTAAATGCTAAGGAGCTCAGAAAGCAACCGACTGTGACTAGTAATAATCAGATATATAGATATTAAAAATGAATTTTTCTATAAAAAAAAATTAACATGGGGAGGGTGGAGAGATGGTTCAGGGGTTAAGAGCACTGGCTGCTCTTGCAGAAGACCTGGATTCAGTTCCCAGCACCTACTTGGGGGTCTAACAACTGACCTTAGCTTCAGTTCCAGGGAATACAGTTCCCTCTTTTGGCCTCCTTGGGCATTGAATGATATTGGTGCACTTCCATACTTGCAGAGAAAACACTCATACACATAAAATAAACTAAATTCAAAAATTTTTTTAAAAATAAGATGGCTTCTGAAGATAACTGCATTCATTAGACAGCATTATTATTGCTTGCATTCGCATGGAACAACTCCAACTGCTTTCAAAAATCAACAAATAAGCAGAAGAAAGACAGAAGAAAAACACAGCATTCTTATCATAGCCAACTGACAAACACTGCTTCATAGAAACTGTTAAGCACAATTAAGCACAGAATTAACATCATTTGTAATGCAATGAAATAAGACAGTTGAGATAAATGCAAAATGGTCTCCAATACCTTGCTTTGAGGATCTAAGCTGAAGTGTATATATTTACAAAAGATCTGAGCAAAGGGTTAAGCAATTAATTGGCTTTCTAGATGTATATGCATAAGCTATGGTTAAAGGTCCAGAGCATTTTTCATCCTTTTATTCATGAATTTGATAAATCTTAACCTTCTGTGAACTGTGCCCATTACATTAGACCTAATTATGTAGACTGAATCATAAACCAATCCTAACCCTGCGTTTTCTTAGTTAAAGGATCAGGGGTAAGAGATAAATCTTTGTCTTAATAAAACTCTGGGGATACAAATTTATAAAAGAAGAAAATCACTTTCATGACTTTCATGCTTCAAGTAATGTGCAAGCATTTGAAACATGCTATTCATCTGCTCAACAAACACTGAGATTGTAGTTCTCGATAGGTAGCTATTCTCCATTGAGCGTTGCATTCACAGCTCAGTGGGAATGGCAGGCATATATAGGCACAACTTTAAAACAATGAGAGATGCAGTGAGAATATAAGGTCCTGGTGTGGAGCAGTGAGTGAGTGGAGAAAAGGGAGCCTGGGCATATGCATACACACACACACACACACACACACACACACACACACACACACACATGAGAGTGAAAGGAAGGGAGGCAGAGAGGAGGAGATAATTTCGCCTAAGTTGTGGGAGAAGGGAGCTGAGAAGATAATGAACACAACACCCTGATGATGGTTTTTCCTAAGCATCCTTATTAGTAGCTAGAGTACTTTTTTAAATTTTAGTTATTATTTTTATTTTATGTGAATGTGTGTATTGCCTGCATGTAGGTAAGTACACCTGTGTTATGCAATGCATATGGAGGTCAGAAGAGGCTGTCAGATCCCCTGGGACTGGAGTTACAGATAGTTGTTAGCTGCCATGTACCCGGGTGCTGGGATTCAAACCCAGGTCTAATGCAAGAACAACAGGTGTTCTTAACTGCTGAGCCATCTCTCCAGCCCCTACATTTTCTATTGTAGCACAACTGCTGTTAGAAAGGAGGACAGCAAAAACATTTTTTATCTCCAGGGCGCGATTTTACTCAAGACACCATTCACTTCTTCCAATTCTCCCAAAGTCAACTAAGAAAGCCGGGCGTGGTGGTGCATGCCTGTAATCCCAGCACTTGGGAGGCAGAGGCAGAGGCAGGCGGATCTCTGTGAGTTCAAGGCCAGCCTGGTCTACATAGTGAGTTCCAGGACAGCTGGGGCTACAGGGAGACCCTGCTTCAAAAAGACCAAAAAAAAAACAGACCAAGGTCAACTAAGAAAATAAAATTACTAGGCTGAATTTTTACCATGTTCTCAGAAATTTTCAGATTATACTGTATTCCAGAGAATAGGCATGAACAACTAAACTTGTCACTAAAAAAGAGTTCTGTTAAGATCTTTATAGTAAAAGCTCAGAAACACTTCGTTTAATTGACCAAATAATGTCAAATTTAATGGGGTTGAGGGAGGATATTAATCCAAAAATCCTCTTAGCTGGGCATGTCTATGATCCCAGCATATTGGAGGAAGTGGTAGAAGGATCAGGAATTGAAGGTCAGCCTCAACTGCATAAGTTCAAGCCTAGACTGGGCTATATGAGACCCTGTCTCAAGAACCAAAAAATTAATTTAAGGAATTAAAGTGCTCTTGAAAAGCAGCTTATGTCCAGCTTTCACAATGGGAGCTTTTGGGTTCCTTTGCTCATCTTCACAAAAGAACTGGGAGCAGTTTTATTTTCAACTAATTGCACCTTCCACTTGAAAGACACTACATAAGAATGAGATGTTAGGAATTACCCTGGCTACCCATCACCAGATGTTCTTGATACCTGAGACTTACCTAACCATGAAAGAACTCTAAGATATGCCATCACACTGGTATCTGGTGTCTGGAGAATTCCAATGCTTAGTAGATATTTATCGATAACCTACTATTTACCAGGCTATGTGTTACATACTAAAGACTAACTATTGATCAAGTCATCAGACCTGACGTTAGGATCTTGCCTCAAATGTAGGAGGACACCAGGTAATGAGAACATTAAGTGTTTAGGGTCCAGTCATCTCACTTAAATATGGAACCTGAGGATAATAGAGTAAGGGCTTTGTCTGGGTCTGGTGGAGCAACTCAGTGGTAGAATGAAGGCCTAACATTTGCAAAGTCCTAGGTTCATTTCCTAACATGGAAAAAAAGGAAGCTGGAAAAAAAAAGTAGCTTTTCATGCTTTGCAGTAGCTTTCTTATTGTTTATCATTGGAGTAGAAATTTATATAACAGAAGCTGGGAAGATGGCTCAGTGGTTAAGAGCATTATCTGCTCTTGCAGAGGAACTGCGTTTGGTTCCGAGCACCCACATGGCAACTAACAACCCTCTGTAACTCCAGTTCCAGGGAATTCAATACTCTCTTCTGACCTCAGTGGGCGTTGCATGACATAGGTGCACTTTCACACATGCAGACAATACACTCATACACATAAAATAACAAATATTTTTATTTATTAAAGTGAAATGGGGGGGAATACTGGGAGCGGAAACATTCAATCATGAAAGGAGAGGGAGAGAGTGAAACGAGGTACTGGCAGAAGACTTAACCAAAATGAAGAGTGTATGAAAAAGGCAGGTGGAACCTGTGATTGTTCAACCCAAGAAGAAATCAATTAGAGGGAACAATAGAACACAAGTGACATGAAAGGAGAGGACTGATACATGAGGGTTAAAGGTTCAAATGGAGATAGTAAGATGGGGAGAGGAGAGGGTAGGGGGGTGGGTTAGTCAAAACCAAGGATATATGAAGAGGCCATAGGGAAACACACTAGGTCGTAAGCTAGTTTTAAAAATGCAATGTATTCGGCTGGGCATGGTGGCACACGCCTTTAATCCCAGCACTTGGGAGGCAGAGGCAGGTGGATCTCTGTGAGTTCAAGGCCAGCCTGGTCTACATAGTGAGTTCCAGGACAGCTGGGGCTACAGGGAGACCCTGCCTCAAAAAGACCAAGAAAAAACTACAATGTATTTTTAAGAAGAATTTAACATAAATACCCTGCACGGGTGGACAATGCGCCTCACAACAAACATGGGCAATTAAGTGGAAATCTAGGTGCCAGGCATGAGATACCTTCCTACAAGCTATTGGTGAGGGAGGCCCACAGGCACAGGCAACAAAGGCTATTGCCATTGCTCTTGGCTGTCCACCATAACTAGATTGTTGGACACTATTATTGAAGACATC